TTTTGCAAGCATGCTGCAAGGTCTGCTGGTAAATAAATTAAGCTTATTAAATTGAAACGCGCTCAATATTATTTACCTGGAGAACTACCAAGCTTCGCACAGGAACGTCTACATTCATCAACACGCTTCAGGTGAGTTAGGTGGTTGCTCTAGTCTAGAGGCATTTAATTCATCCAAAGCAATTGACTAAAAAGACTTTTATACTGTATTTCAAATAAATTGTTCTGTTCATCAAAGAATCCTGAAAAAACCTATCACAGTTCCCCAAAAACATAAAGCAGCACAAATGCGTATAACTTAGATAATAGTAAATTGTGTTTCTCTAGCACCAAATCAGCATATTAGAATAATTTCTGAAGGATCATGTGATTAGGATTAATGGCTGCAGAAAATTCAGCTTTGCCATCACGAGAATAAAATTAGAAATTATATGGTAAAGCATTTTCAAATATATTTATTATAGTTATAACATTTCTAAGTTTTCCATGACTTTGGGAAACATGAATTTTAAAATGATAGTTTCACACTCAGTTACATGCACAATTCTAATTCTAAAGACTAGCATCTACTAAAGAAAACATTTCACATCTCACGATACATCTAACAGCTTTTACCAGGAAATACAGTTTATCATATGCTTCTGCTGTATATGCTTTTACTAGAACTCCATATGGCAACACATATGTAGATTATTCCTCACATTAATCCACCAATGCGAAAATGGGGAAGATAATTAAATATTCATTCGTGATCTATCTAAAATTAACGAATTTGTTAACCCCAGATATACACTGCAGAACAGACACCAAATTTAATTTGATGAATGAAAATCAGGCTCTGTTTGGGATGCAAGTACAGTACACCACATTCAATACCACTGTTGTCATGTTTAATGGATGTTGATCGCTCATCCAATAAGACATTGAAAACACTTGTTCATTCAGCCGAACGATCAACAATACGGCATAATTGAACATACTGTAGCAGTCTCTGTTTTACTGGCATCAAATTGAATATGGCATTTACATTGACTAAAGTCTATAGCTGGATCAAATCCAACGCCTCTTGAAACCTTTTATAAACTCAGTTACTAACTTCACTCTCAGTCATTGTGGATTTGCACAATACAGTCCATATTATTATATTTTAAGTCTATATTATAAAATGCACTGTGACTGAGTATAATCCAGCGGTTGCCCATCACTAGTTGTTGTGACAAGACAGGAGGAGGAGTAGCAATGTGGATTACAAAAGCACGGCAAATATGAGTGTGAGCATGTGTGTGTGTGTGTGTGTGTGTGAGAGAGTCGTTTGGGTATCTATTAGGATTACAGAAGCAAGACGTGTGTGACTCTGGAGGATATAATTCTGTCAGAGTCAGAGTTCTGCTATGGGGTCACCACTCCTTGGAGCCATCTGCTTCCTCCTGCCTGTTAGTCTCAGGGCACTGAAGCTCAGAACTCAAACAGGCCCCAGGGGACGAACGCACACACATAAATACACCGAAAATAACTAGACACTGGTGGTTAGGAACCAGGAAGTGATTCCTGAGTGCCAATCTGCTGGTGAAAATGGGAATTTAACCCCAAGCTTTTCCTGCGCAGCCTAGTGCTTCCCTGTCGGAGCGTAGAAGAACCAATCAGATGATTAGGTTTGTGTAGCCAACATTGAGTTTGCTTGAATCCTACTGTATTGTAGGGCATAGCATGCAAGGATGGTTCACAGAATATTCATTTTTGGGTGAACTATCCATATAAGTAAATGTTAAATCTCAAATTATTCCAGTTATGCATTATCGCCCCTAGCCAAATCATTATAACAGGGTTTTTCAGTCATAGAAAACAAGAAAGAATATGTGGAATATGCTATTGTAGACGTACAGACAGTCCAATCATTGTATTCAAGCCTAAAGTGCCGTTCCAGATGACTGCTCTGAAATTTCCTATTCGCTGGGTGAGATTTTGCTATTCATTGTAGCCTTGCTGTGGTGGGCAACAATGAAGCAGAATGAGTGAGAGTATTAGACAGCCACAGAGTCATGAAGTCAGAAGGCCAAAGAGTCAGAGAATCGGCTCTCGTCTCCTCACAGCAAAAAAAAAAAGTGAAAATGCACACTTCTCACATTTCAGAAAATCACACTTACTGTATGTTTGAATGTGTGGTGCCAGATATGAAGAGGAGTGAAAGAAAGAGATTCATTCATCTCTTCGACCCCGTTCACACCTGATTTTAACATCAATCTCTAGTGTGCAGCTCTAAATACAGGGGGCCAACGCATCTTGCGCAATCGGTTCACTGAGCACATTTGGAGGAGGTTCCTGACACACGTGGTCATGTTTATATAGTGTAAATGCTAATGCATCCAGTCAGCGAAAGACCGCCTACTCATGTAACATGTAATCATTGCAAGCAGGGGCGTAGATTATGCAGGGGACGCGGGGGACGTGTCCCCCCCACTTTTAATATCACGTAAATTCGTCCCCTGCACTTTTTCGGGCAAGTGTGTTCGCATAGAGGTTTTCAAGAGCCGGTGTGAATAAATATAGATTTAAATTTAAAGAGACAGGATAGTCTGTACATGATGTCCCCCTCACTTCTGAAATGATGGCTACGCCCTGATTGCAAGACATGTTGGAGGCTTTTACAGTCTCTGCCAACAAGTTATAGCTTTAAAGCCAACATTAAACAAAGAAAATTCACAAATCCATTTGACTTCTGTAATATGATGCATTTATGAGATATTCAATGAGAAACATCAGGTAGGATCAGATTTTTACCTATCTGTAATTGGTTGGATCATGAAAAGGAGTTTTCCATACTGGAATGGAGCCAGAAAGCAATTGTGGATGACCACTTTCCCTCTAAAACACTTCAGGTACTCATTGGTTGAAATGTTAGTGGCCTTGATGATGTCAGCAGAAAAGCAAAGTTATTAAAGTGGTAGAGAAAGTTATATTTTGATTAAGGGCTATAAAAACAAACGTTTTTGCCTTTGAATAACACGCCCAATGAATTTATACAAAATGCCCAGGAATTTAAAGCAAAGAGGGATTTGATTTCATGTTGACTTCAAAGTAATGTGAACTATCATTTTGCACATGCTTTAAAAAAGCGAAATGTTTACAAACTAAACTACATAAAACCTGTTTCTTTCTCATTTCACCATTGGGATTCACATCAGAACACACACACACAAAAAAACATCTACATTTGTAAGTTTTCGCACCTGACCTTTCACAAAGTTGGTACGGGCCTTTCCACTGGCACATTTCCAGACCTGCAGGGCTCAGCTCTATACCAGATCATCCACAACACACTTAGAACCTTCGGGATAAATAGTGTGATGCAATTTGACTGAATACCGCTCCGAGTGATTCTCTTTGGCCATCAATGACCTTTGGATGAAAATGTGTATTCCAGAACAAAAGAGAAGGATAGAGAGAAATCTAGAATGATAGTGCTTACACTGTTGTTTCTGCTCAGAGGTCAGCAGCAGGGAAGTGAAAGAGAGAAAGAGTGAATGAACAATGGTGCGGCTCAAATGATGTGAGGGCATGTCAGGTTTAGTCAGAGCCAAGGGTTTGACCAGAAAAACAAAGGTCATTTTATTGCATGCCAAAAACCTATTATACGTTTCTTTGAGGGGTGGATGGTATAACCAAAATCTTATCTTAATCATATAGTTTCTCCATCAGAGTAAAAAAAGAATAATAATTTTGAGATATAAATTTAAATTACAAAAAATTCAAACTATAAAATATAAATTCAAAATTATGAGAAATAAAATCATAGCTATTTTATAGTGAGATAGACACTATCACAAATTATGGGAGGTAAAGACAATATTGCATGACAGAGACATACTGAAATACATAGTCGCAGTTATGAAAAGTAAAGTAAGATACAAATTGTGAGAAAAAAGTTACAATTACAAGTGATAAAGTTGCAATTACAATAAATAATTTGCAAGTGAGCTTATTGTGATAAACAAGGGAATAAATAGAAAAGTAAAATAAAAATACAAAGTGAAACTGATATAAAGTCAAATTTTAAGATAAAGATGAAGTAAATTGATAAAAAATGAAGTCAAGCTGTGAGATATAAATTCACAATGATGAGATTTGAAAAGTTGAAAAATAGTCAAAAATCTCTCAAAAATTTTAGTTGAAAAGTAGTCAAAAATAGGTAATGGGATTTAAAGTCAGAATTGTGAAAAAGTTATATTGGGAGATATACAGTCAGAAATGTGAGAAATAAAGTTGAAATTATGAAAAATAAAAAAGTCAAATTGTGCGATTGTCATATTGATAATCACCAGAAATATTTTGCTACTTTTAGATATAAAGTTGCAATTATGAGATAAATTCACAATTATGAGGGAAAAAGTCCTTGTAAGGCCTTTTATTTATTTATTTGTGTTTTTTTTTTTTACTCTGAGGTGGAAACAGGCTTCCACATCATGCGGTAATGTCTATTTGATGATTTAATTAAAGGGTTAAATCCCTTTTCCTTTAAAGGGACTTCATTTGCTAATTTTTCAAACCTCACGTTTTTAATAGCATAAAATGCTCCCATTTATACTGTGGTGTATATGGCATAGCAGAATCTCTAACAGTTGCTACTGATATATCGTCCAACCTTAGCTCCTCTAAACAATGGGCTAATGTAATAAATTGGATGAGCACAGATCTGTATCTCAAGTGCCCGTCAGTCACGTTTCCTTAACGACGCAATCCATGAACGCAATCCAACTATAGTGGGTTGCATCAGATCTGACAGGTCGATCCGCGTCTGTTAGTTCTGCTGATCTCGAACTGATGCTGCGTCTCTGTAAACTGCTGCATCTACAATTGATTTTGTCTGCCATGACGAAGAGAGGAAACACGAACTGGCGTGTCCATGATGATAGGCAGGAAACCTGAATCACTGTAAATAGAGAAAGACTAATTCAAAACTCACTGTTGTCCTTTCAGGAGATGAGCAGTGGAGGAAATGCTTCGGCTCTCACTGGTGTTCACGAGCTTAGCTGGAGATTTTCACTCGAGATCCTGTGAGGAAAAAAGAAACCGACAAAAGGGGGACATAAACATATTTGGATCTGGCTGTGTTGGAGATTTGTAGACTAATAACCGCTGGTTTGCAGGTGACTCATGTTGGCAGGAAATGTGAACCGGCCGGTGACCCGTGACAGAGGAAGATTCAGAACTCACCACCGCTCAGGAAAAAAAATCCCTCTAACACTCGTGCTTTAAAAACACTCTCTCATAAACACACACGGCATAACTCTAAACAGGGCCAGATGTTACTGCAAGGGAGCTGAACTCCCATCTGTGAGTGGAAAAACCAAAGCAACAGCAACTTTCTATTCATTAACCCGCTTCTGTCAAAAAATGGCAGGAAAATCATGGCGGCAATTTGTGTTTAATACACAAGACATACTGCAACTCTATGCATTTCTATATGCATCTATCTATTCATCCATTAACCTCATGCGGTGCCTTCGATAGGGGAACATTAAACTTTAATAGAGGGGTCTTGCAGAACTAAAACAGAAAACAGTACAATTCGGGAGACTGTGAATCACGGATTCAATTAACCGACTGTGGAATTCCATACTCCTGCATCTTTTAAAACCCCTGGTGAGGTTGGGGGGCGACTGGCTGGATTTCCCGGAAAACACATTCGTGCAAGGCTATCACATTCTGACCGCAGTTAGCCCTGCGAACCGCTAGTGAGTTATCGCATGTGGCTCAGGCATTTAGCCCTCTCACCCTTCTCTTTCCATCACTCACACCCCCCACGTCCCAGCCGGGGGGCTGATGGGTGAGGGAGGGGGGAACAGTCATTGCTCACAAGCCTGAATCTGGTGTCTGAACTCAACCATTTATTTTACACTACAGAAGACAGGAGAAACAAAACAAACCATAGCGAAAGATACTACAGACAGATCGCTTTTCCAGAAAATATCACTGTCATCTGGCTAGCCGTCTAGCAGTGCTGGCAAGTAATCAACTAGAATTAGTGATGTGGTTAACTTTTCTAGTAAATCCCTAAGTATTCTTTCGTTTTTTTTACATGTACGCCAGGATTACACAATGTGGCGTAGATTTCATCAACAGCATAGCATGCACACAGCTCGATTTTTCTCATCATATGCAATTAATATTTCTCTCTTCAGGGTATTTAGTAATTAAATACTGAAGCTAGCTGTGAAGTTAATTTATCGGACACACTAATGAACACAAGACACTGTAATATTTTAGGATAAATAAAGCCAATATTGCAAGATAAAAAAAAATCTGACAGATAAAAAGTCGTAATGTGAAATAAGGTCATATTGTGAATACAGTCGCAATAATGTGAAATAAAAGTCAATAAAAAAAATCAAATTGCAAGTTTTTTTACAAGAAATAATTTGCAATTGATATATAAAGTTGAAATAGTCATTATACAGTATCTTTTTTTGTCTGAGACGGAAAACAGGCTTTTAAATCACAGTAATTGCTATTTTTTTAATTTGAAAAATGAAAGGAACTTAAATAATCTGGTATGCTAATGCACATTTGTGTCAAATAAAGCACTTTAACAATGATTAAATTCAAAGTATAGCACAACCTTAAGTGCCTTACTGCTTTTATAACTGTTACATAACAAAAAAAAATTTTCATTCATAAAATATGTAGCTAGAATATGCATGATAAATGCTAACATCAACACTGTAAAAACTGATTTTTGAAGTTGTAAATAAAATTAGTTTAATTCAAAGTGTTGCTTGTCATTTCTTATTTCAAGTTAGTAGTAATTTCGGTTACACTTTATTTTTAAGGTCCAATTCTCGCCATTAACAAATCATTAACTACGACTTTTGCATCAATAAACTCCTAATTTGCTGCTTATTAATAGTTAGTAAGGTAGTTGTTAAGTTTAGGTATTGGGAGGATTAGGGATGTAGAATATGGTCATGCAGAATATGTGCTTTACAAACACTAATAAACAGGCAATATGTTAATAATAGGCATGGTAACAAGCAACTTCTTAATAGTGAGGACTGGTCCCTATACTAAAGTGTTATGATTTCTAAATGAAAAAAGTTTCTACAGCAATATTTTTGAGTGTATGGGTGCAGTGCAGTGATATACATGGCAGCTAAATGAACAGGCATTTTGCATCATAGCTAATATTGCATATTTTAGCATGGCTGGAATAATGTATTGACTAATTTGTAACGTAAATTACCTGTAGTAATTATAAATGACTTGTTACTTCCCCAACGCTGATATTTTTCAGCTTCTGTGAAAGCTGAACTGGATTTATATATATACACACACACACACTCAGTGTATCCTGTGTTTACGCCTCACACTGCGGAGGGTGAAACCGTAGTTCATTCTTGTTTGGCCCGGTGGATGTTTGGATGTCATTGGCTCTGTGAATGAGCAAATCCATCAAACACAGTTCATTTGAAATGAAGCTAATGTAACTATCCGAGCATGAAGTTACACTGCAATAAAATCAATACGGACCGTGGTTGGAGTGTGTTTCAGTTTGGAAATATGAACTCGAGGATAAAAAAGACAACAATGTAGAAACTCTATGATGCCGGTACATCCCCTTTTGGCTAAATTACACATTTAAATCGCAGTATTTGTGTGTGCGCTGTGATTTACTGGCAGTCTTACTGAGGTCCCAGCATTCCCTCTCACTGACTAACTCAGGTCAGTGATCTAATGGTCATGACAGTATCTGAGCTGTACTGCATCTTGAAAGAATCCAATTCTAATAGTACCATCCAAAATCTATTAAGCATTTCTCAAGTGCTCTCTCTTTATTGTGACATAGCTGCACCTGTTATATCTTACACAGAGTGGTCTTAAAGGGACAGTACAGTCAAAAATAAAAATACTCATCCTCATGTCGTTACAAACATGTATGATTTTTATCTTCACTGAAACACACACATACATAAAATAATAAAAACAGTCCATACTGGTTTTTAAAAAGATATGAGGGTGAGTAAATAATAAGGGGATTTTATTTTGGGGGAGTAAACCGTCCCTTTAAATCACCTTCAGATCTATACTAACCCATTAAATAGTTTGTTTGTGTGTTTGTAATAAATAAATCTCAGCTGCTTGTCAGCTGTTTATCTTCTACAATGTGATTAGTGTCCTGAAATTGGGCTGGTCTACACACAAACAGAGCTGCTGTTGTTGTAAATGCACTCAGAGACACTGCTGACCAGAATTAGGCTTAGGTTCAAGATTAGATGTAGATTTGCGATCATATTCCATTTAGGAATCATGAGATTTAGATGCACAGCATTAGGTTAAGATTAGGTTTATGATTAATACTAGAGATCTGTATAGGTTTATGATTATTGGTTGGATTTAGGGTTGAGGACATTGAGGATTATGGTTTTGTTTGGAGTGAGTCATCTGCTGGCATTACTCAATTCCCACAGAGATATAAAAAAAAAAAAAATCACTCACTGCGTCTTCTCTATAAACTCATACCCATCATCACTCAGAGGGCTATGCAGATTATGTTTTAAAATGTACTGAACATTTGAGATTTGAGACTTGAGTCAAAAGCCATGGATTTCAATATCTTAAAGCTGACTGATCCAAGGTTATATAACCTCTCATTTGTGTGACGTTTAGAAACGCTTTATTAATTTCTTTATCTTAAAGGAACAGTTTACACAAATTCTACAAAATAAAAAAAAAAGGACTACAAAAGGCATATGGACTACAAAAATGGTGTTTAATTTGTTACCAAACATAAATGTCATTGACTCCAAATTTAAACTTAAAGAGGAAGGGAAGATTTTCAATGAAAATCTTGAGGGTGAATAAATTATGTCTGAATTTTCATCTTTGGATGAACCGTTCCTTAAAATCTAAAACACTCATGCACAAATATCTTCCTGTACCTGCTTTCTCTTTACTGCTATAAACAAAAACCATTTTTACCACTCTATGAGCGTATGTCCTACTTACATCTTTTTTTTAGTCTTCACTTAGCCCACCCCATCTCTCGCTTTCATTTCGCCTCTCTGTTTGGTGATGAATTGTCCCTGGTCTCCAGGAATGGATCTGTTAATAATTCAGACCAGACCATGGCATTGACCATTAGAGCCGGGAGGCAGAACTTTCAGCTGATAGATCACTAATCAGATTAATCGCTGTCTTTCAGTGGGAAATGAAACAGAGTGAGGGACCATGCCACGCATGGTAATATACTGGACCTTCTAGAACACTTCACCAGCAGACGCTTTCAATTACGGCAAGCAACCACCTACAGCTTGAGAGAACATTACCCATGATTGAGTATTCAAGCAGCAATCCTAACATTAGCCCAACACAGTGAAAATATCATCCCGATAGATGTGCGTCACACCAGATGCGCTTGAGTAATTTGTGTACCAATGGATGAGACTAATACCTGTTCCAGGCAAAAACATATACATCACTGTAGCTCAGATACACTAGTCGGAACGTCATACAACTAAACTTGATCATCAGTACATTCAAATCATGCTCCCCAGGAGTAATTTGACTCTAATTGAAGTGTTCTGAGGCTCAAGTAAGTATGTATTTTTTTTCCCCAGCTGAGCTCAAGAACATAGGTCATTTATATCAAGGTCATTATATATCTAATTTTACCTGAGCTTAACATTGATTTCCCTGTAAAACGATTTGACTGTTTTCTGGCTTCACATACAGATGTTACCAGCGGTAGCAGCTAATGACAAAGTCATGAGTTTGGTGGGGTGTTTTGTTTGTGTCCGACTGAGCTGATGCCAGTTAAATTACACAAATTAAGAGTTCACCATGGTGTGGAAATATTGATTAGTCACAGTCTGCTGTGAGTTCCGTATATACTCACGCACTGATAATAGATTATACAAACATCCAGCACTACTTAGTTCACCCAAGAAGTGCAAATTCTGTCACTATTTACTCGTGTCTTATCCAACCCCCACAACAAAAATAAACATCAATATGTTTCACGGGTAATATTAATGAAGTCTTTTGTAGGCATAAAAGT